TATAATACAAATAATATTTCAGAAATATACATGATACAATATCATTTCTAACAATTCACTAAGAGTTAGATAATCTTTTCAACAAAGGAAACTAAACTATACATGCATATGGACTTTTGAACAAATTCTGTAAGTGCTAGGGACTAATCAAAAATTAGTCTATATATTCAGATGGATCTTAAAACAGTTTCAAAATCTATCAGGAGGGTGAAGCTAATTTCACATCAAAATTAATATACTAGTAGACTCAGAACAATTTCTGGATCAAACAGGGGTCTGTAACTAATTTTACAGTTATTCATCAATACATTGGATTCTAAACCCGCTCTGATACCATCTGTTGGAATCATGACATACAATGCAGCGGAAAAAGCATATCATGACTATTAATCAAAATTAATTAAATATTAGAAGAATACCTGAAACGCTTTCCGAATTTCTACAATAATCTGTCCCGAGATCAATCCAAAATAGCTTCCTCAAGAGAAAAAGCCTCCAATTGAAATCCACCCGTCACCGTAGAGGAGCAATACTGAGAGATAGGTTCTCAAAAATCTATTTCTTCATATTATCTTCATAAGATTTTGAATCTCTTCTCTTTTTTTTTCATAAGGCTACATATGAACCCTATTTATAGGATTACACTAGTCTTAGAGATTTTAACTTTAAACAATTCATAATTATCTAGAACTCTATCCATAACAATTAAGGATAGAATAGATTTGTTCAAAAACTTTATCCATAACAATTAAGGATAGAAATAGATTTATTCAAAAACTTTATCCATAACAATTAAGGATAGAAATAGAATTGTATTGCATGTATACCTCTTCTAATGACATTAGTGAGACCAATTGGGTCCCATATCGAGAACCAATTATTAATCAAATTAATAATTTTAATTTAACAATCAAATCCCTATCCGACTAACTGTTCATAAAACCTCTTCCATAATATGGTATTAAATAATATCTTACATTCACTCCCTTCCAGTATCATTTATTTTAGGCAACTCTTTTAAGCAGGATAACTCACCTATTTGCTCATGCCTAAATTTGCAATTCCCATGAACATAAATAAAAATTATTTTGAAACATCAAAATATTTTATTTTTTATAAGAAAGTAAATTTTAAAAAAATATTTTTAAAACCACCTGCCGGCAGGAATTTAATAGCTTCATGGGAATGCATAATAAATTAACTCATCATAATGAGCATACTGGATCCTATCTAGACATCCATCATTTTCCTAAATGAAATTTAGCAACCCAATTTTTCAGGTTGTATAGCGCTTGCTAAACAAGCTTAACCATCACATCAAAGCATACTAAATTATCAAATCGAAAATAACAATATCATCAAGTCAAAGGGACCATGTAACAATTTGAATTCTCTGTCTCTTAGGTGACTCTTCCTAGAGAATTCAAATACGGTCTAGTGCTACACACATCATAATGCGTGCTTATGACATACACCCGGAGAATCTCCATTCTCGATGGTTGAGACCCACCACCATATCTCATATATCGGTGTCATGCATAATAACCTGTTATAACAAAGTTATCCTTTACTAGTTATAGGTTAAGCACAAATTTAAGAAATTTCTAAGTTAGATCATATCTCCAAGCAAGTGACCATCACAGTGCATGATCTAACAAAATAACTTCTAAGGATATATATATAACAATTATATAAATAATACCCAAATTATGTGCAACAATTAAATTTATTAATATTACAATATTATTACATAATTTGTATTGGATGTTCAAGGGCAAATTATTATTACTATTCCAGCAGTGGTCCCTCCACTATTTTTTTTTGTAGTGGAGAGGATCCGAATCCCTAGGAAATGATAAATTTCCTTTCATTGAGAAGTGGACTCTCCACTGTGGATCATGGTGAAAAGAATGTGAACTTTTCAAAGCTCTTTGGAAACTAATGGTATTGTTGGGAGTTTACTTAGGAAGGGAAGGAAGGAGAAAAATTCTCCTTCATCTCATTCCCCTTCATTACCCTCCAATTTGGGTGTAACATTTTGGCACAATCCGCCCCCCGCCCCCTCCCTAATTCTTCTTCTCTATCCTCCTAAATGCAACTCCCAAACAAGGATAATATTACATTTCTCTTCCCCTCCTCTTCTCTACCCTACATCCAAACAAGCCATAAAGGTAAGGGTGCAAACAAATCAAATATGATAATTATTATTCTGTATCAACTTACTAATCTTTGCCACAAACACGAACCCTTACATGATTTGTTAAAAGAAAACTCATAATTAATCCGTACCCATCCAACTTGAACGAATACGGACAGGACAAATATGCGAGAAGACATACAAATGCAAAATGGTCATGAGAAAAAAAATGGATATGATTGAAAAATATAAAAAATGGACATGATTGAAAAATATATAGATAACGCAGCACAAAAATTATTTAAACAAAGTAAACTATCTCAAATCAAAGTTCGTCAGTGTGTTTGATCGCCAAAAAAGTTTGGATTGTATCTTTCCATCACCAAAGTCAATCTTGTTGTGCCTGCTTGCGAGCTCCACCTGATCTGGCACTATCTTCATCGAGTCTACACACCAACCAACTTCTGATCCCGTGATGACTCTGAATAATTATATGCTGACGAATCTCAAGTACGTTACTCTTGTACTACTATTAATAAATTTGTGGGGTCTTTTTTTTTTAATTGTCAATAAAAATATTGTGAGTCATTATTGACCCTACTTTTTGGTCGTGGGGGTACATATTAGGTTTTACCCCCCTAGAATCTGCCTTAAAAAGAGGGTTATTTTACAAAAAATTATCTTTCATTTTTAATTTATACGCAAACATCTTTAAAGTAATGTTTTTGTTTGTTTCAATCAACAATTTCACGGTCAAAATTTTTTTATTGAAACCTTAAAATACCTTTAAAAAAACTCACGTTCAAGATACGTGACTCGCTTTTTTAATGTTTAGGTCTAGCTAGGATACAAGTCATGTACTCTAAATATACATTTTTAATGTTATTTTTTAAGAGAAGCTTTGGCTATAGACATAATTGATCAGAACAAAAACCCACTTTAACGATGATTTATGCATAAATTAAAAATGAAGATGTTTTTTTGTAAAATGATCCTATTTGAAGGTGGTTTCTAGGAAGGAAAAAACCTTGTAAGTTTTGTAGTACAATTACCCCGAGCTCCCATCCTCACCCATTTTCACCAAAATCACAATGGCTCTGATGAGATAGAGATCGCGTACTAGAAACCTCTCACTACCAATGGCTACTACAAAGCAATATAAGCACTTAATAAACAAGAAAGTAATTCTAGTGATTTTAGTTCTTGTCGAAGAAATTGTGGTCCATACTTCATATCATCGAACGCCATTATTATCGACTATTCACAATGTCTATGGTACCGGGAAGCAACCACATATATGATTAATACATACGCATAAAAAATAAAATGCATTTATTGCAGAGGCTAATGACCTTATATAGGACAGACTGGCCTAGCAATAAAAATATCAAGAGAAAAACGTCAAATATACCATGGTTGTCAAATTTAATGTTCTTTGGCTTGTTATTTGAATTATAGCATCCTTTGTCAAGGGAGTTTTGTAGTCATGGATGGGCGGCGAAAACAGAGATAGGGATACCGAAGAGTAGTTCACAAGAACAAGTTTTGGCCGTACGTACTCATTTGTCTTTTTTCAACCAAAGTAAACAACATATCATGTTTTGTTCCCTAAGAAGATTCGATTCGCATGAAAACATAATACAACTAAATAAAGTTCACGTGCCTTCTATGTACACAGCTAGGCAGCCCGGGTTCGGGCCCGGCCCGGTGTCTTTCCGACCTGGGGGACTTTTTTGCAAAAATCGCACACGAGAAAGCTTTCTCGTGATCACTTTTGGTTTTCACCCTTTCCCATTTTTCGAGGCTCACTCCTGATATTTCTCCCCAAAACATGTGCTTCCCTAACAAAAATCCCCAAATCCCTCAAATCGTTCCCAAAAAAATCCCCCAAATTCGTCCGACGTCGAACCTTCAGATAAGATGTCGATCTCGGCCTCGTCAGCTCCGTCGAAGCAAGCTGCGGTCGGAAAACCCCTCCTCCTTCCGACGTCGAACCTTCAGCCCCCCCGCGATCTCGGCCTCGTCAGCTCCGTCGAAGCAAGCTACGGTCGGAAAACGTCCTGGTCCGCCGCTCCTTCCCAATTCGTCCGACGTCGAAAGCTCCGTCTTCTTCAATAAGGCCCAGGTCGGCTTTCCTATTTTTATTCCTCTTTTTTTTTCTTTTTTCGTTTCTGGGGATTTATCTGTTGCTTATTGATAAAGATCGCATCTTTTTTTTTTTGAATTGATGCGTGCACAACATCCAGCGATTTATTTGATAATTTGGGAGGTTATTAATCGGGGAAGAAAAAATATCTACCTTTTTAATGGTTGTTTTCAATGCTCAATGTTATTTGACTTATATATTTGACGAGATTTATAATATAACGCCCCTCAACTTCATCCCAGGACAGTCTAGTCCACAGCGGCAAATCAGATGAAGGTGTTTGTAATAGCCCCTTTTTTTAATCCATTGTTCGACTAAATGAACTCTATTGGTGAATAAACTAACTTAGGTTTTACTGTCAGTTGAGCAATAGATCTCAAAATAGTACTTGTGCCACGCTTGAACAAGGCGAATATGTAAATATTCCTATGACCTGGTTCAAATGGGTGTTGTTGTACTGGCTGGTGTCTGTGAACTTGTATGCAACTCTGCTATTTTGAATCTTGGTTGGTTAATTCTCGTCCCTGAATTTGTATGCTTCATTGAGTCTGTTATTTAGTACTCCCCAGAAACAATCAGTTAACATTTATTAAAATTGTTAATCATAATTAAGTAGACATCTACCTTCATTAATAGTTATGTATTGAAGTAGGGGCTTTTGTAAAGTTTTGTTAACTTAAAACAGTTGCCATATATGTTGGTCGCAGGTATCGAATCTGTTGTGAGACATGGAAAACTTGGACATTGGAGTAGGGTCTAGCTGTCAAAATGTAGCTAATGAATTAAACTTGGACGACGATGATTTGATATATACTCCTCAAGTATCAGATGAGTTGAGGCCAAAAAAGGGGCAAGAATTTGACACAATAGATGATGTTTTGACATTCTACAATGCTTATGCTAAAGCAGCTGGGTTTAGTGTAAGGTCTTGGACTACTTAGAAAGAGGCGGGAAGTTGTAAAATAAGAAGGAAGGAGTATGTTTGTTTTAAACAAGGAAAATCTCTAAAAATCGCGGATGTTGGAAAGAAAAGACGTCGAGGAAGATTAGCTGAGGATTGTACTGCCAAAATTGCAGTTTTAAAATCAAACTCCGGAAAATACATTGATACTGTTTTTAATGATGAGCACAGTCACCCGCTATCAACACCATCAAATATTCATCTTTTGAGGTCCCATCGTAACGTTTCAGCTGCAACAAAGTCTTTAACTAAACAGCTCTCCATGGTGAATATATCTCAGCATCAACAATTTAGTTTTCTTGGAGTACAATCTGGAGGTATAGAAAATATTGGGTGCACTCAAAGAGATTTATATAATCATGAGAGGGATATACGTGCTGATATGAAGGGGCACGATGGAGAAATGTTTTATGAGTATTTAAAATTGAAACAAGGAAAGAATCCCTCATTTACTTTTCAAATTGAGGCCGATGAGGAACAAAAGATTACTCGTTGTTTTTGGTCCGATGCAAGATCAAGGTGGGCTTACAATTATTTCGGTGATGTTGTAATCTTTGATACTACTTATAACACTAATCGCTATGGCCTTATATTTGCACCAATAATGGGGGTTAACAATCATGGTCAAACAATTATTTTTGCTTGTGGATTTTTGAATCATGAGAGCGTTGATGATTTTGTATGGTTATTTACTCAATTTTTGGAAAGTATGCCTGGTGGTGCCCCGAAGATGATTATTACCGATCAAGACCCAGCGATGACTAAGGCATTCCCTCTTGTTCTTCCAAATACTTTTCACAGGTATTATAGTTTGTGTATATTATTAAAAATATTTATATGCATAGTCTTTCTTTTTAACACTTTATTTAATTCTTTTGACAGGTATTGTAGTTGGCATATATTAATGAAGTTTTCTGAGAAAATTGATGCAGTGAAGTATAGTATTTATAAAAGTGAGTTCTCGGCTTGCATTTGGAAATCAGAGACTCCTGAAGAATTTGATTTACAATGGGAAAGTCTGATTAAGAAAAGTGGGTTAGAAGGAAACAGGTGGTTGCAAGACCAATATGAACTTCGGTCAAGATGGATTCCTGCATATGTTAATCACGTTTTCTCAGTTGACATGTCAAGTAGTCAACGAGCAGAAAGTGGACATGCATTCTTCAAGAAATTTGTTTCGAAGAATAATTCATTGGTGGATTTTATGATACAGTTTGGCAGGGGACTAGTGCGCCAACGTCACGAGGAGTTGATGGCCGATCACAAAGACTTGATTGAGAAACCTAAACTTAGAATAAATCATGACTTTTTGGAGCAAATGGTTGATATTTACACTAATGAGATGTATTTCAAGTTTGAGGCTGAAGTGTGTGACAGCTTTAACTACAAGTTACAGTTTGTTAGGGCAACTGACAATCAGAGTGTGTATCAAATTCAAAGAAAGAAGCTCGCAACAAGCAAAGTCCGCGAAATCGTTTATGACAAGGACTTGGATTTGGTTTCTTGTAGTTGTAAAAAGTTTGAAAGTGCCGGAATCGTATGTACTCACATTATCTCCTACTTGATGAAATTTGATGCTGAAATATTGCCCGATAAATACATCTTAAAGAGGTGGACTAAGTCTGCAAAATCGGGGACAGTGGTTGATGATAAAGGTATGCAGATAAACCCTGACAATTCTTATCTTTTAACACGGAGTCAATTTATCCAATCATCTTTGGAATTAGTTGACAAGTCCCTTGTATGTGAAGAAACGAGGAAGATGTTTACCGATGGAGTGCGTATCATTAATGAGCAAATCGACCAATTCATTAGTAGCCGCACGGTTGCAAAGAGCTTCACCGAGAAAAGTAATCAAATGAGTAGTAATTTAATGGATGATGGTACTAGTGTGCATGATTCTTGTACTTTTCAAAATAGTTTCAATGAACCCGATCAAGTGCGAGCAAAAGGGTGCGGCAAAAGGTTGAAGGGGGGAAAAGAGAAAGCAATGGCTAGAGCAAAAAATAAAAAAGATAGACGTTGCCACGGGTGTGGTAAAGTAGGCCAATCACATGATAAGCGAAATTGTCCGGCACTCACAAATCCGTAAGTAATAATTCTTTTATTATTTATGTTGTCTTATTTTTCACATTCTAGTATCCTTCTTGATGTATATATGTATGGATATTTTAATATAATGTAGGTTTTCTACAAGCGGTGATACAAATTTGCAAGAGGGTAATGAGTCATCAAGTGAAGATGTGGATCTTTTTGAAGATTAAGAGGGTAATGGTTCTGTCTTATTTCTGGTAGTGGATAACTTATGATTATTTGCTACTGTTACTATGGCTGGTCTTGGCGTGATATTAACTAGTGGCTTCGGTCCATTGCATGGATGGTGATACAGGGGTAGGAAGTTCAAAACAATGAAACCATGTGTGGTCTGTGCGGTTAACCCTTTTTACTATATGTAGTTCAAGAGTCGCTATTCAATTTTTTTCCTGGCAGAGTGAATTGTATCTTTGAAAATCTGTATGCTACTTAAATTTTGTCATAGTCTCTTGTTTTTATATGTACAGGAATCGTGTCCCATTCGGTATCTGATGCATCGTCTTGCTTATTTCAGTAACAGATTTGCTAACTTATTTCAATAACAGATTTGCTAACAGGTTTGTGATTTCTGTGGACTTTCTTATGAAGATTATCAATGGCGAGTCCCAAAACATAGTAGTAATTAGATCCAAGTATATGCTTTTGATTTGTGATGTACAAAGGCTTTTACCTCTTTTTTCCCTCGCTTGATTTCAATAACAGATTTGCTAACTTACTTCAATAATACTAATTTTTTAAATAATTACCTAACTTACTTCAAAAGCTTATATGTTTCTCAAACTGATTTCTGTTGTTTGAATCAGGAGCTTGAATCAGGAGCTTATGAATCAGGAGCTTGAATGAGGAGTGTGTTAACTAGGAGCTTGAATCAGGAGTGGTCTGATTATTGTCAACATTTAACTACCTAGTTGTTTATGTTTGATTGCAATGTATTGTAATGTGTACTGATTTTTCTGCTGGGACTTGAGTTGTAAACATGCAAGTTTATGGTGTTGCTGTATTTTCTGCTGGGACTTGAGTTGTAAACATGCAAGTTTATGGTGTTGCTGTATTTTCTGCTGGGACTTGAGTTGTAAACATGCAAGTTTATGGTGTTGCTGAATTTTCTGCTGGGACTTGAGTTGTAAACATGCAAGTTTATGGTGTTGCTGGTTTTGTTAACTGATATGAATTTTCATTTGTGCTGAGTTGTAAACATGCAAGTTTCTCATAGTCATTATTTATGGATTGGTTTCTTGTTCTCATCCTTCTGCGTCTCTTGATGTTCAATTTATTCCAACTTGCTAGTACTGATCAGATACAGGAACTGAGATTATCTACATTACAATATGGTATAATTCACCCCTTTATAGGATGTTCAGCTAGTCCTTACTCATGTCAGAAACAATGGATTAAAGAGCATGAGTAAATAAAAAAATAGTCACATGCCTTTACTCATGAACCTGGTTACACGAAGAGACAAATTGGAATAAATTGAATGACTAAGAGAGTCGGCCTAAAAATCACTTTATTTAACCAATGCAAGCTCATCAACTCTGTAACATGGTAAATACACAATGCAAGCTCATCAACTCTGTAACATGGTAAATACACAAAACACCACTGCTCCTTTCATCCAATTATGGACCTACGAAAAAAAAACAAATAAAAAAATTAACAAAGCTTGTTTCATTCCAACACATCACGGTTATTTCAACACAAAACACAAAAATTAACAAACTTGTTTCATTCCAACACATCAAAGCGTGAAGCATTACAAAATACCAATTCCACAACACATAATTTCCTCGCTTACAAAGTCTTGTTTTATTCCAACACATCACATAATTTCTTTCATGGCCAAAGAAAAAGACAACAAAAAAGCTATAACAGTTAACCATTTCCACAACACTTTTTCACGTACAACAACCACGTCACGCGCCTCTGGTGGGGCAATGACGAGTGGTATTTGTTCAACTGATAAAATCTTGCACCAGCCCAAAAACGAGCCGCACTTTTGCCTTTTACACGAGTAGTAAATTCTACCACGGTTATTGTTCTTGTTCGACTTCGTTATCTTCACATCCGCTAATTCACCACACTCGCATTGTTTCAATATGAATCTAATATCAACTTCAACACATGAGTTACCTTCCACAGTTGATGATGAAGCCATTTCAATCTGCCAATTTTGAATTAACAAAATTCTGAGAAAATTCTACCACGGTTAATTTTTGAACAATTAACAATTAACAAAATTTTCAATCTGCCAATTTTGAATAATATAGCTACCAAACCTTACAAAGTCTGACTAGTTTTCCAGGAAACAGATGTATTTTGGGAACTTTGACCATTTAACAAAATTTTTCCATTGCATCAATTATTCCAGCAAAAACAGATCAACTACACAAAAATTTTGAGAGATTTAAGAGATAAACTGATTATTCCAGCATTAAGTTTGAGAGATAAACTGATTATTCCAGCAACAACAGATAATCATATGTAGGCAACATGGCAAAAACGCACAAGTCATCTAGGGCATAACGCAGATTCATCGCTGCAGAATTACAGTCAATGTTGAAGTTCATTGCATCAATTATTCCAGCAAAAACAGATCAACTACACAAAAATTTTGAGAGATTTAAGAGATAAACTGATTATTCCAGCATCAATTTTGAGAGATAAACTGATAACAGATAAACCCTATGGATGAAAATAACAGATAATAGGTAAAAAATTGGGGCTTGATCGTTACCTGAGTTGGGAGATTTAAGATCGAGCTCAGACTTCGTAGTCGTGGCAGAGGAGAAAGGGAGGAGGGGTCTCGCGGTGGTCGGAAATTACAGCGAGCTCCGATTTGGGGGTCCGACGTTAGTGGTCCGACGTTGGGAGGGAGGCGAGGCGGTGTTGGTCCGATTTGGGGGTCCGACGTCGAGCTCGAGAAGGAGTTGGCCAACGTATTTGTCACGACGGAGCTCGCTTATTCCAGCATCAATTTTGAGAGATAAACTGATAACAGATAAACCCTATGGACGAAAATAACAGATAATAGGTAAAAAAATTGGGGCTTGATCGTTACCTGAGTTGGGAGATTTAATGTGGATTTGGGGATTCGTCGTCGGGCGAGAATAGGGCTTCGTCGTCGGGCGAGATGCGAGCTTCGTCGTCGGGTGATTAGGGCTTCGTCGTCGTCGGGCAAGATGCGGACCAGGACGTTTTCCGACCGCAGCTTGCTTCGACGGAGCTGACGAGGCCGAGATCGCGGGGGAGCTGAAGGTTTGACGTCGGAAGGAGGAGGGGTTTTCCGACCGCAGCTTGCTTCGACGGAGCTGACGAGGCCGAGATCGACAGCTTATCTGAAGGTTCGACGTCGGACGAATTTGGGGGATTTTTTTGGGAACGATTTGAGGGATTTGGGGATTTTTGTTAGGGAAGCACACGTTTTGGGGAGAAATATCAGGAGTGAGCCTCGAAAAATGGGAAAGGGTGAAAACCAAAAGTGATCACGAGAAAGCTTTCTCGTGTGCGATTTTTGCAAAAAAGTCCCCCAGGTCGGAAAATGCGTATGCATTATGCGTATAGGAAACGTCCTGATATATATATATATATATATATTGATATATATATAATTTCTCTTAGTATATAAGTATATATAAGTATACTCTCTCTTATATAAGTATAATATATGTATAAGTATATATAAGTTAGTATATAAGTATATATAAGTATACTCTCTCTTATATAAGTATAATATATGTATAAGTATATATAAGTTTACAGTGTATACTTTCTTATATATGTATATATCTCTTTATATAATTATATATACTAGTATGGTGCACGTGCGTTGCACGTGTATTTAATTTTACGTTTAATTTTTGTGATGATACTTTTTGTGTGTGTGAACTATCCTTTGAAATGATCATCATGAGTAATTTCAGAAAACTCAAATACAAAAAAGCACCAATCATTTGATGTTTGCTAAGAAAATTTTTAGGGATAGCAAGTTTAATGGATAATCATGATGCTCATTTAAAGATATATAATCACGTTGCACGTGGACATAAGTATGAAAGTAATTTTTATATCAAAATAAAAATAAATAAGCTTTTATATGTGTTGCATGTGAATTGGAAGTCTAATACATTAAACTTATTATCGCAAGTAATGTCTATTAGCACATGTTTAAATAAGTATATAATCACATGTTTAAATAAGTATATAATCAGCAAAGATTACTACACCCACCATCAAAATCTAAGCTTTTATGTGTGTTGCATGTGAATTGGATGGCACTGGAAGTCTAATGCATTAAACTTATTATCGCAATTAATGTCTATTAGCACATGTTTAAATAAGTAACCTACATAGTTTAATCCCACTATTTTTACCGTTGTGATATGGAAAATTACACAGAATATATGTCTAAAGTAATAAGGATTTCAAGACTTGAAAAAATACATAAATTCTTTAAAATAATGAAAATTCAAAAACTTGAAAGGTACCTACTACCTTTAAAATAATGATAATTCAAACACTTGGAGAGTACATAAAACGCTTAAAATTCAAGACTTGCGAAAATGCATATAATCTTCAAATTAATGAAGCTTAAAATGGGGGTGGAAACAAACCAAAATATTAACGAATAGTTTATTAATTATTCAAGGAACTATTGGGTATATCTGATTCATTAGTTTTAAACAAAAAGTCTTAAATAATTTACTATTCTAAATTATAAATAAATAGAATTCAGCCTGATATATATTCAATTCATTTGCTTATCAAGTATCTATTAGAATTTGAATGCTCGTAATTTGTATTTTTTTTTCATACATGATGCTATATTTTAGTTCTATATACTAATTCTGAGAGACTTAAAGAGTCTTAAATCAGTTTTCTAACAATACACGTTAGAAGTATATATATATTCAATTGTAGATACCAATACTATTTAAAAATCAAAATCTTTAGCAAAATGGATATGCGTAGGGGCGAAGCCAAGGGTTTTCACTCTGATAGGGCACAAAAATTAAAAGTAGAATTTTTAAAATTTAAGAAATATCACTTCATAAGATAAAAAATAAAGTAAAAAACTTTAAACGAAACGAATACAAATACAAACGCTTCTTAATATTTGATTTAATCTGATTCGTTCCCCACCCTGGCCCCTGGGCTTGGAGGTCGTACTTTGCAAAGAAGAGGCCGTTCGTTTTATAAATCAATGGGCCTACGCAATAAACCTGATCAAAACAACGCCGAAGCGTCGCGAACAAACTCGAACCAATTAAAGTCGAACGACCATTTCCGCCTTCGCCTCCCCCAAAAAAAAAAAAAAAAAAAAAAAAAAAAATCTCAAACCCTAACCCTAGAAATCGAAACCCTAAAAGGCTGCTCAGATCCACCACATGGCCATGGCGAACGAGGTCAAGCTGTGGAACGACAAGAGAGAGCGCGAGATGTACGACAGCTTCGCCGACCTCTACGCGATCATCAAGACCACCGAGAAGCTCGAGAAGGCCTACGTCCGCGATCTCGTCTCCTCCTCCGACTACGAGTCCGAGTGCCTGAAGCTCATCGCCCAGTTCAAAACCCTGGGCCTCCTGCCTCCAGACGGCCGCTGCCCCCGTCCGTTCGACCGCTTCGCCGCCGCCTACAGGATGGACTGCCCCGGCGCCCTCAACCGCCTCCTTCGTCTCGGCGTCCCGCCACCGTAGAGCACGGGCGGCGTCGTCCTCGTCGAGCTCCGCCTCGGCCGCCCCGCCGTGGCGGGAGTGCGTGCAGCACTTCATAACGGCCATGGACTCGGTGTGGAGCTGAACATGGTGGCGGTGCTGACCAGGTGCATCGCTGCTGTCGGATCTGGGCGGCTCCCTCGCGAAGCTCGGGGAGGGATACTGCCTCCTGATTTCGAGGGAAGGTTGAAGGTGAGGAGTGGATGCGCAGGCTGAGCAAGATGGGCGGTGGCCGACGGATCGCTGACGGAGCAGCAGGCGAGGCAGCTCAATTTCGACCTGGAGTCGTCTTACAACTCCTTCATCGCCGCGTTGCCCAGCGCCGGCTCTTGACTACTGATCGCTGGGGGGGGACTCGGAACTAGGTGAGGAGGTATCCCCTCTGCCAAAGATTGATCTATTACATTTCATGCCCGAACATTCCCCCTTCTTTGTTGGACTTACCCCTTCGAAGAGTTACTTATCCCTATAAGCACCCAACAACCCTAAATCAATTGCTTTCTTAGAATTGCTTACCTGACCGAATGCGCCGCTAACTTCTCCCACATTCTAGGCGTGCATATAATCCATGCAAGCAGCCTCCGAATTCGTCATCTGTACCACTTCCTACTGGAAAAATCTCACCAAGAGAAGTGCCTTAAATTTGGGGGAGTTTTTTTTAAATGAAATTAGGTATTGAGATGGGTATATGAGGAGGGGGGGGAAATGCGATTAAGACATGTAAGTGCAGATATTTAAGAACTTTTAGGTACTTAAAGTTTAATTTATCCTCATAAACTTCTTATGCGCGGGTAATTATACATGTGGATAATATGGCATAGATTAAGATTCAGAGGCATTATGTATGCCAACTCTTAATGATGATCCCATTATGATTCCGAGAGATGTTATGCTAGCATAAACCAGTTACTGCTTGTACACTTATGTTTGGTTTCAGAGAAAGTTAGGTAAGAGAAACAAAGTGAAATGGGAAGGGAAAAGTAAAGAAATGGGGAGAGAGCAATTAAGGGTCTGTTTACCTCTGGAATTTTCTTAGCTGTAGTTTTCTTTACTTTGAGTCACGTAATCCTTAACGTACAATTCTGAGTTTTTTTTATACGATTCGAAATCTAGTAAACTGCAATTGTCTGCCCTTAAAAGTTAGGTTTACTTCTATCAAACGTCAGGTAGGCTTGATGTCTTTAACGCCAAAAAATCTCAAGTAAAAGCGAGCTGCTTCCTCTCATCTTTTTTCTCATCAGAATATAACACTTTCCTTTTTGCATCAAGAATTTTTTAAAGATAAATCCATTCTGTATCTCAATGGATCATAGTTTTAGTTAAACTACTTAAATTACAGTCTGGAAAATTATAGCTATTATGGGTTGCTTGCTACAATTTGTAAATCTGTTTCGGCAACTTGGAATGACAACTACGATTAGTAAACTTCGACTCCAAAGAAGCTAATCGGTTGAAGCTCAATTTTGATATGGAGATGTTTTCCAGCAAGTGCAATCAATATTTGGCAACAGCTGACTGATATACAATGAGTATGTAACAAGATCCAAGGAGGTCTGAATCAATTGCTTACTTCCATTGGATTAGAAAAAATAAAATGGAAAAATAATTTTTTTAGTTTCCACATGAACTGGATAAAGGAATGACATTTAAACTCTTATTTTCTTCTTTTCCCTCGTTTCTTTTTGAAGTTTGCCAAGAAATTTTTATGGGTCGACCATTGAAGAAGCTATTAGTGAACACCTTATTTGTATTGGTTTTGGCTGTCATACTTGTATATAAGTCAGGAGACATTGTGTTTGTTTTTGCATTAACAAATAAGCCAAGGTGAAGCATTAAAGAGGCTGTTAATGAAAACCTTATTTTTATGGGTTTTGGCTATCATGCTTGTATTTGGATACCAGTTACAAGGCATTGTACCTTGTCTACATTAGCAAGCAAGCCAAGCTGAAGCTTGTTTCCTTAATAATGCGTCTTACATTGATTATCTTTGTAGATACCACACTTATTAGAGAGCAATGGAAAGTGATCTAGCTAAGCTAATTCCTGTCTCGTCATTTTCTAAGTTGAAATTCAGCGAGAATAACTACTACTAATTTGAAACCACATGGAATGAGACTCGTAGAGGACTTTCCTATTATAATTTCCGAGTTTCATTTAGTTCAAGCCTCATAAATTTGGACAAATTTAAACTGGAGTTTCAGTTCAGTGTCAACTGAAACTTCAAGACGTTCATTTTTCTTCTATAAGTTTCAAGTTTGGCTAGTGCTTCAACCTTGAGGCAGCAAAACTCTACCAAGTTGAATGAATGATCAGCAAGCCTATCATGACTTTACTTTGCTGAGGTCATTACAAGCACAATGGGGTTCTTCTTGAATAATTGATCCATGCTTGTTAATTATATAGCTCAGCTTGTTTTATGCACCGCGATTGACAGTGTAGCAATGAGCTCTATATTTGAACCAGTGATTTAAAAAGCGCACAGAGGCGCGCGCCTCGGGCGCGAAGTGCTTCGGCGCAATGGAGTAGCGCCCCGCACTTGCTGCGGGGCGCTACACGTGCGTCGGGCGCGCGCCTGGGGACTGCCCCGAAGTGTCCGACTCAAGCGCCCAAGCGTGCGCCTCAATTTGACGATGTCAACAAGCGGTTATTGGGTACTTACCCGACTTTGACTTGAACCCGAAAGCAAAAAGGAGGCATCTGGCTAGGGTTTTGACGTTTCATCGCTCCTTCTCCGACCCATTCTCCAACTCGAAAGCAAAAAAGAACTCAGCTCCTCCGGCTCGCGAAGACGACGGACGACGACGACAGGCGACGACGACGGGCGAAGACGGGTGAAGACGAGCTCAGATCGCGACGACGAGTACATGTTCTTTTTTTTCCAGTTTACTTTTTTTTCCGATTCCTTTTCGTTTTCTTTTTTTAAGTTCTTCTCCCTTTTACGTTTCTTCTCCTTTTTTCTGATTCACTTTACATCCGATTCCTTTCAGTTTACTTTTTGTTTCCTGATTTTTTTCTTCTTTTTTTTACTGTACGTATTTTAACACATTGTTTCTGTTTTCAGTGTTAAATTATTGTTGTGTTGCTCTGTTCTCAATTGTTTTTCGATTTCCTTTCAGTTTTTCTTTTTTTTTCTTTTTTCTTTTTGTTTTCCCGATTTCCTTTTAGTTGTTGTGTTGCTCTGTTATTTATTTTCTTTTTTTACTGCTTTGGTAGCTCTGAATCACTTGTGTGATTTTATTATTAATGGACTTAGGCTCTATATGTTAGATGATTGAAATTTGATGTCTGGAGCTGGGTGTAGTACGAAAATAAAATTTATTGCACTTTTTCGTAACCTCTTTCATTCTGGCAAGATACTTCACATCTATTACAAGGTTTTTTAAATAAAACACTTAACAAAAAATAGCATCTATTACAAGGTTTTCTTTTGACACTATAAAACAAATTGATTCTTGCTATTTGAGCTAGATGTAGTGTGACTGCTAGTAGTTGAAACTTGAAACTTGATTTGCCATTTGTTACCTGTAAAGAAGAAAAATAAAATTTAGCAATATAGTTGTTAGTGATGTAATATAATAGTATGAAAGTTTGATTAAATTGCATGATTAAATAAAAATTTCTGTGTGAAATTTCAATTTTTTATTGAGTGCGCCTCGCTTCACTCGGGCGCGCGCATCGCATTGCGTCTTGCATGTCCGCGTAAACTGACATTGCGCCCCGCATTACGCCTCGCGCATTGAAAACACTGATTTGAATCTAGGAACCATGTGTTGATATTTTCTTGTACTGGTAGTACGCGGTGGCAAGAATTTTAGGTGATTGTTGTTTATTAAGTGATCTTACCTTACGGTAACTAAGTTCTCCTGTTCTGAGCATAGGTAGGATTTTGAGAGTAATTGTCCAGTCAGAAGCATGGAGTTACATGTTAAGGCTTCCTTTGCTCACAAGGAAATAGCTTGGAGAGTTTCAAAATGATGTCCAGTGGCACGAGTGCATGGTCGTCCCTAGTGTATTTCTCTTGCCAGACAAATTTTCAAAACAGAATTCTTTGCCAAAAAAATCCCAAAAACCGTCATGTTTCAAACTTAATTTCAAAAACCGACCCAGTTGAGCTGAAACTGGGTCGGTTTTTGAAAAAAAATTTCCAAACTTAACGGGAGTTGAAGTCCCGTGAAGTTTTGTTACATAAAAAACAATGCTGTAAATAGCGGAGAATAGCGACGCTATAGCGCCGATTTTCGCGTTCGCTGGGGTTCAGCGCGACGCTTAACCCTTTGGTGGCGTGCTTAAGCGGAGAAAGCCGCTTTTCGTTCGAATAACGCTTGAATAGCGCGTAATTGCGTGTTTTAGCGCTTAATAGCGCTTAAAACGCTAAACCCGCTAAACCCCCTTAACTTATTTCACCCTGAACCCGATCCGAACCCGACCCGTACCTAAACACTTAAAGCCTCTCCCAATCCCGAACCCTTTTGTGCCCTAGCCGCCTCTCTCCCACTCCCGACTGCTTCTCTCCCACTCCGGACTTACAGTGCCGTCGACGCCGCCTTCTGACGCCACCTTCCAAGCTCCAACGACTTCCGACGACGACAACTTCCAGCGACTTCCGACGACGACGACTTCCTGTCGAAGGTGATCCCGCTCCCCAACGTCAACAACAAGATCCTGTCGAAGGTGATCGAGTACTACAAGAAGCACGTCGACGCTGCTTCCGCTAAGACTGACGATAAGTCCGACGAGGAGGAGTTGAAGGCATGAGATGCCAATTTCGTCAAGGTCGATCAGCCTACGTTGTTCGATCTCATCCTGGTTTGTTTTCTGTCTTTTGCGCTTTAATTTCTCTTGGTTTAGGTATGATTTGTGATCTTTAGATCTGTTGCTTTGTTGCTTTCATTTCTGTGGTAGTTAGATGTTGTTAGGGTTAACTTGTGATGTTAGGGATTCATTAGTGTTTGGTTCGCGTTATCTGAAATTTTAGGGTTTCATAGCTATTGGTATTTATTACCTACAATTTTAGGGTTTTATACATTGATTAGTACCATGATAAATTTCTTTTTGTATAACTATTATATTAAGTAATTGATTCAACTGGGTTGGTTTTTGAAATTAAGTTTGAAATGAGTTTTTTTTGAGATTAAGATTCAAAACAGGTTGGTTTTGAAAATTTATCCTTCTTTTGCCACGCTTCTAGGAGCTCCACAATGTGGCCCAGAGTAGCGAGTTCAGTGGCTACGTTAGAATGTGGTCTAGAGAAGTGAGTCCAGTGGCGACGTTTATTTTTGGTTCTGCGCACCATGTTTCCGTGCTCAATCACTAGTTTTAGGGCACAAACTACTTTAGACCTCCCAGTTTTATACTATGAGTGGGTTTCACTTGTCCTGTTTCAGTCCTTAAAAAGTTATTAGATCCTATGTCTGTCTGTCCATGTAATGCACTGCTTTAATTTCGCTAGACTTTTTACGCTGTATACGGTGATTATTATTTATATACCATCTGTTCATCGTGTTCATGTTATTGCAGGCATTCAAATACTTGATATGCCTTTTTATTTCTAATCCTTTACTTTTGGAAATTACAGGGCAGTTCAAGCGGAATATTTGCTCGTGCCTCATTGTCGTGTGGTTGGAACATGCTTTCTATCCGTTTGCCGAGGAATAATCTGTTGAGATAGTGCATGAAATTGTCATTTGTGTTGAGATGTAAAATTGGCATATGATATATTACTAACATTGTTTCTGTAAAAATTACCTGGTCTAGAACTTTTATTGGGTATATAATATGGAATTCAAAAGCTTCTCCAAGTCTTACAGATGGGGAACAGTTATATATAAATGCATACAATTCCCATGGCTTGTAAAGAAATCAGTGTAGTTCTATCAAGCTAGATTTAAGGCCAGAGTCTTGAGTTGGAACCGCGCAAACAGTTTGTCTTCATTTGCTGCTGTAGTCACAAAAATGGAGTATGAGGCCCTCGAAGAAATCATGTTGTATCCGAGGGGAACGGTAGCGTTGTTTTGCGTGTGGTGATGCTTCCTGGCTAATTAAAAAAAAAGAATAAAAAAAAGAATTATTTACTGGACAACGGTTTTAAATGCTTGAGCAAAAGACGCCTTCAAAAAAAATAACTATTAGTCTTCCGGCGTGCTGAAAATGGGTTTTGAGGGTTGTTGACGGGTTTCTCTCCTCAAATTTGGGTCCTCCATGAACGTAGGGCATCGAAAATTGCAAGACGTTTCGTGAAAATTTTCAGATACAAACGCGTAACGATCTTGAGAGCAACATTATGTACAGATTAAAGGTCAAACGTAGGACGTAAATCAAGCTTATCATTTTATAGTAATTTCAAACGTAGGATGTAAATTAAGCTCACCATTTATAGTAATCTTTTTGTAAACATTTTGACATGATCTAGAGCAAAATCAGTCACGAACTTGTATGTCAGACAAAATTCCACATGCATGCGCTGATTTCAAATTAAGAAAGCAAGCTGCTCGTGCCTTCCCTCAAGTTGGGTTGTAGAGATTGGTGCAAAAGGCTCAAACCCAGCCCTAACAAGCTTCAGCTAACACTTTAGTCACAAAATTTCCATTTCTATATCAGACAAGCTAGTGTATATCTCCTCAATACAACCTCTTTCAGCTTTTCCTTTGAATTCGATGAATCTATATCACAAGGCAGAAAAAGAGTACCTCGTGCATCCATGCTCCCTCACCTATATCTATTAACGATTACACAACAAAACCGGAGCTCGTGTCTTACTCATCTCTTTTACCTTTGCTGTGTCCGACTTCTAACATATCCGAACGAGCTTCTCCACAAGTTCCCCAAAGATTCAGCGAGAGCTGTATCACGCGACGATCTCAACAAACTTCAAACCCCCACCCACCTTTGGCGCACACAACCTGCATTTGAAAAACACGATTCGGATTTTTCTTGTTGTTACCTAAACAATTAACTTTTAGGCAGTAGCATCAGCAAAAGGCCTCATGATGCTGCCAGTATCAGACTTTGGCGATGGCTCCTCCTCCCTCTCCGGCTGGATGTTCAAATCAATCTGAGCCTTGAGAGGTGAAGGCGAAATCACTCTATTCTCAGCATCATTATCAAACTCGCCCTCGACACAAATCACCGGACTTTGAGGCAAAGAACCATCCCCAATACATTTGCCTTCTCGCTGAAGGGGCTCACTGCCTGAAATCATCATCTCCAGTGACTGATCAACGATCTGCTTCTTACTTGTCTCAGCTTCTTTCTCTGTCTGTTTCTTCTCACGCCGGAGCATTAAGGTTCTGAAGCGGCGCTTCACAGTGAGGCAGACGTTGCACGTGCAAGATTGCTTGTGCTTGGGACCTTTGCCGCTCGGAGGCTGGATGCATACAATGCACGTGCATCCTGGCCGATGGCGAGGATGCTTTGTTGTGGGTTGAGAAGATGGAGGGAGGCATTCCCCCTCTCCGAGAATTGCTAGGTTGGCAAGTGTATCGAGCCCATCGGATACTTCGAGGTTGTTGTTTTCTAGTTTTACCCTGGACCTTCTTGAACCTGTTTAAAATTAAATGTTAAATCATGAGAAGCACGTTTTGAAAAAATAAACAAATAAATAAATGAGAAATTGCACGAGTGTTAGATAATCATGGAGGATGTAACACTGCTTGCAACTGTAACATAGGCTTTTTTTTTTATTTTAATGGGTAGCCTTATAGTAGGCTTTTTTTTAATGGGTAGCCTTATAGTAGAGTCTGCTTCATTCATCCATATCTGAAACATGTAGACAAATGCTAATTTAAATTTACATTTCCTTTTACGTTTCCTGCATTCAAACAGATTTTCATCTCACATTCACCGCATCTAGCAAAAGGGGTGTGTGTTCGCGCCTTCTTTTTGGGTGGGGCTATTTATCCTTTATGTGTCGGTTGCCGGTCTTGAGGTCCTTTGTCCATATCCACGTAGTTCTTGTGTGCGCCTTCTTCTTGGGTGGGGTTTCTTCCTTTTTTTGTGTTACGTGGTTTGCTGAGATGCTCTTTCAACAGTGTCGATGCATGTGTTAATATGACCAAATGAACGATAGTTGCGGCCATTGCTATCTTGCGGTATGATACAGAACGACGGGGATATGGACAAATTCTAAAATTTTAGGGAGTCACTGACTGTGAATAACAATTGTAAAACATAAATTATAGAACATGCAGAAAATTAGAAAGAATTTGAACATGCAGAAAATTAGAAAGAATTTAAAACAACTGCAGGCTTAAGTTCTTGTTACAGATTTAAATTCTGAAGGGGTAATTGAGTTACCAATATTTGATTATGTCACAGCAGACTTTAGTTAATGGGTTAAATTTCTGAACCAAAAGCTAATAAAGATTTATGCCAAGACTAATTTAAGTACATCATCAATTTAACTTCCAACTCTAGCTCTGTTCAGATGACTTTAGCACTGGGTTGAGCATGAAGCCCACATTGATGAGATTACTTCACTGCTCAGCTAGAATTGATATGGTCTTTTTGCACACATGTAGCATGTGTGTGAAAATGATACATGTCTTTCAACTACAAGGCGATGTTCGCACAATATAGGTTTTAGCTTTGATAAATTATCAAGTGGACAAGACCAAGACAAGGAATGCCAGTTTAAAGTGTCGCTCTTAATACTATTAATACGTGATCAAGAAGACTTATTCACCATGTCTGAAAAAACCCATTCAAATAGATGGAGAATGTCCTATGCAGATGCTTTAATGCACCCATATTCGTTAATATAAAATTTGAGATAATCAGCATATCCGGTACTTAATCCAGCCTATAGTGCTATTACGTGATAATGCCAATTGGTTTCCTCATTTGGCCATAATGCTAATTGGTTTCCTTATTTGCTAGTTCTGACATCCATCTCCAACATGAATTTTATACAGGTGAACAAAAATTAACATACTCTTAAATTAATGAATTAATTTGATCAAGAACTAGCAAACAAGAGAAACTGTAAAGCTAAGAGATTTAAATTATGCTGTTGTCATACCGGCCGTAGTAGGAAGTATATCTGCTAGCTCTGTATCTATTTCCTGAGCGGTTGAACATGAAGACCTACAAAGGTATAAAGACAGAAAAACATAAGATATCAAGAATAAAGGGGATAGTTATGCAGTGCTACTTCAGGGTAGCTTCAGGTAACCTACAGAATTTATGTCTGGAAGAAGTATACGTTTAACTCAGAGCAAGCATTGTAATAGAGTTGATGTCATGGCAACAGTCAGTGTAGAACTGTGGTGAATGCTTCTGTGAACTCTTATTAATCTTTGTTTTTAACT